TTACAAATGACATTTAAAAAGCACACTGGGAGGAATCCAAAGGACAAAGACAACATCAGCATTTTGTGAGGCCCTAAGCAACTTAGCAGGACTGTCTCTTAAAGTCAAACATTAAAAGGGCTAGATATGTGGCTCTGTAGTTAAGTGCCCCAGGGATCAATCCCTGGCTTTAAAAAAATGAAAATTAGTAATTAATATAAATGAAGACATTGCTGCTGGTATAGTGTTACATTCCTATAATCCTAGAAGCTTGGGAGGCTGAAGCAGGAGGATCACAAGCTTAAAGCCAGCCTCATCAATGGGATAAATAAAAAAACAAAATAGGGTTTGGAATGTGGTTCAGTGGTTGAGTACCCCTGAGTTTAATTGCTGATATCCCTAAAGCATCTCCCCCCTAAAAAAAAGAAAACAAATACAGCATTGCTATGGTTTTGATTTGGGCTTTCCACATGGTTACACAATGTACATAGGTATAGAAACCTCAGATTGCAACCCACAAATGCATAAAATTATTAGTTTCATCCCAAAAATACAGGAAACTGTCACTTAGACTCTTGTTATCTTCATTTAAAAATGTCTGCTTGGAATACTTATAGCAAATTCATCTGTGCTGCATGAATCTAAACCAATGCCATAACTCATGTCCTCAATTGTAGTGATCCATGTCCTTTATTAAACAAGGTAATGCAATTCATGCCTGCCTGCTAGTGCTGAGCAGAGGAAAGAGTGAGGCTTCAGAAGAGCTCCTGGTTCCTTCTACCAAAACCTCCCAGTGCCCTTCAGAGCCCAGCTGCCTCTGAGTAGTGCCCTCAGGAGGTGGAGGCAGTAGGAGGAGCATCTGGGGCAGCCTAGTCTCACACTTCTGCTCCCTGGGAGATTTTTGTCATGACCTGTATCACTGTGGAAGAGGCCCTGTAGCCTTGTACACAGTAATAACTGGCAACATCTTCAGGCTCCAGGCTGCTGATGGTGAGAGTGAATTCTTTGACATATCCACTACCACTGAACCTCTATGGGAACCCATATCCCATACTAGTTGCCCAATGAATGAGGAGCTTAGGAGCTTTCCCTGGCTTCTGCTGGCACCAGTGTAAATTATTGCTAATGCCCTGACTTGCCTGGCAAGTGATGGTGACTCTGTCTCCTACAGATTTAGATAGGGAGGATGGAGATTGAGTCATCTGGATGTCACATCTGGCACCTGATATGGAAAAAAGAAAATAAAAGAAAGATGCACACAATTCAACACGCCTTATGAGGACTTCTGGGCAGATGCAGGTAGCACTGACCACAGTGTATTGAGTATATTCTCATTGATGTCCTTTCGTACCTGGGAGGCAGAGCAGCAGGAGCCCCAGGAGCTGAGCAGGGGCCATCATGGCCATGCTGTGTCCTGACTGGGACTGCCTCCTGCACAGGGTGTGAGAAGCCTCTTAAGAAGTCCTCAGGGCAGTGGGCTGTGCTGAGGCACATGCAAATCAGCAGGGCTGGGCCACCAGGTCACAGCTGTAGGGAGGGCTCCTCTGTCACTCAGTGCAGGCTCCATGTCTTCAGGTGTCCCAGGTCAGATTGGGACAGTATAAATTTGCCTGCAGAAAATGTTTCCCTCAGGGTCCACAGGAAAGATTCATTCCATTGTCCTCTGAGTGGTCACCTATTGCAGTCTTTATGGTTCTGAAAATGGTTTATTATAATTCTATAAAAATTTCTCCCATTCTTTTTCTTTCCCTCCATTTCTAACTCCTTTTCTTAATTTTCCTTCCTTTCTTTCTTTCTTTCTTTCTTTCTTTCTTTCTTTCTTTCTTTCTTTCTTTCTTTCTTTCTTTCAATCTTTCTTTCTTTCTTTCTTTTTGGCCTTTTACAGATTGAACCCAGGGGTGCTTAACCTCTGAGCAACATTCCAAGCCATATATATATATATATATATATATATATATATATATATATATATATATATATATATATAATTTTGAGACAGGGTCTTGCTAAGTTATTTAGGGCCTTGCTAAATTGCTGAAGCTGGCTTTGAACTTGAGATTCTCCTTCCTCTGCTTCCCTGGCTGGTGGGAGTACAAGCATGCACAACTGCACCCACCTCTAATATTTCCTAAAGACAATTCTATTATATTCCCTTGAGAAGGGAGTAATTTAGAATGGGGCAGGGATATTTCAGGTATAGGATATAAACAGAGCTATGAAGATAGAAAGAGAGTTGAATTTGTAAATCTGTGAAGATTTGGGGTTTCAGTTGACATTGGCTTAGGCTGACTGAGTGGTCAGGGGAGAATACCTATAGTGACTCCAGCCCTTCCTGCCTCAGTCTCTCCAACACTAACACAGGATATTCCCTCTCTTTCCAGAGCAGTAGGGCTCAAGCCCAGACAGGCTCTTTCACCCACATGTCCTTTCTGGAGAAGTAAGAGTGAGTTGGGAAGGAAGTTTTAATTTCTTGCATCACTCTAGAAAAGGTTTAACAAATAAACCAAGAAGGTGGAACATGTAAGGATTTGCAAAGGTCAGTGAAAGCAGAAAGGACCCAGGTTCACTTCATCTGTGTTTCTCATCCTCAGCAAATTAGCTGTCAAACCTGGGATTTATGCCTCCTGGGCCAAGGAAGACTGAGTGGCTTTCACTGTCACATACTCCATGTCTGGGCCATGGAGAAGAGCGGCCAAGGGCTTCAGCTCCACTCTGATCATGAAGAATCTTAATCCTTCCAGAAACCACACCCACCCCTCTCTGCTCTCATAGGCCTCTGAGCTGATCCCATGTGCTCCCATCCCTGCTCCTGCCTGGGTTGGCAGAGGTTCACCTCTCCTCACCATGCACAGCAGCACGGAGCTGGTGCTCAGTAAACTGGAGGATGGGGATGACTGCTGTGCAGGGTGGATACCTTTGCCCTGTAAACCTCACTATGGTTCTAAGAGGGATTCAATAGGAAAGTGAGATCCTAAGGCAATATTTTTCCTGGAGGGTTGGAGCAAAGTAGACCCTGAGAATAAAAATGGAAGCATGTTCTGATTTTCCTCATGACAACCTTGGTTTGCAACTGTAGAAATGAGGGTTGTGCATTAAAATCCAGCTCGGTCCTTCAGGCAGTGGACTAACTGGAAGAGGCTCCAGCAGGGGTCATCCAGGGCTGAGCTCAGGCTGGTGCTTTCCTCTGGTCCTGGGTTGTGAGGAAGCACCTGATCTTAGGAGAAATAATACTGAGGGCCTGGCAGAACACAGGCCCTGCCCTCAGGCTGCCATGCAGGGATGTAGGGAGGGAAGGTGCCCAACACCCTGGGGGCTGAGCCAAACAGAGTCCACAGCCAGGGTGAGGTGAAGACCAGGAGTCAGCACTGGGCCTGGCTCTCTGGGTGGCTGTGCTCAGTGCTGAGCTCACTAGTCCTGATACAGAGACCCTGGTGTTGTCAATGAGGAGGGTCAGCAAAACCCCCAGAGTCTAGTCTCACCCACAGTTTAATCATGCTTAGAAATAAATGGAATACTACATGCCATGTATATACTATATAAAACACAAATCGTACTGATATATCCATATAAATATGCATCAGAAATACAAATATTTGTATACATGTACATATTACTTTGCTTATTTTAATGACTTACTGTTTTCATGGAATTGCTCTTTGCTTTTTTTGTTTGTTTGTTGCTTTTGCTTCTGGAGATCCAGTCAGGACCTCCTGCTTGGCAGGCAATCTAGAACTTACACTGCAAGGTTCTTTTTTTTTTTTTCTTTGAGCCTGTATATCAGTTGCCAGACTAGCCTCCGTTCTGCAGTTGTTCTCACTCAGCTTCTTCATTAGCTGGGATTGCAGTGCTGTGGCACCATGTCTGCTTCACCTTAGGTTGTCTCCAGTGAGCTTGGACATTCACCGCCAACACCTGTCCCACAACCCGTGGCTCCCTCTCCACTCCAGAGAACTGAGCACCATGAAGCTCAAGGCCTTCCCCTGTGCTCCTGCTGCCTGGAACAGTGACCATCCCATTGCTCTGAACATGGGTGCCCTGAGGGGCTCTAGTTATACATAGAAATAGTGGTCACAGAGTTGGGTAATTGTTCTGGGCCCCAATGGGACAGAAGTTCTGTGCCCAGAGCTGGACTTGGGCTACTCCTCCCAGCTGCCCTTCCCCACACAGGGCAGAACAGCTGGCTCAGTGACAGCATGGCCACAGGACAAAGCCATACATAGCTGTTAATGGCCACACCTCTGACTGAACAGAGGACTGGACAGTGGACAGGTGTCTCTGGCAACTCCACAGCTCACATGACGAAGAGCCTCTGCTCTCAGTGGACCATGTAAGCCACACATGCAGCTTCAGAACATCTGCTGCTCTCCTTCTGGTCTCTAAAGATAATAATCACCATTTTTGACTTTCCCATGAGAATCCTATGAGTGCAGTCAGTGGGTAGTCCAAGGGTCAAGATGTGCAAGAGAACAGTACTGTGACCCATATGAAGACAGCCGTGTGAAAGTCTGCATAGCTGTGAGTTCAGAGAGGAAGGGGACAGAGCAGAGAAGGCCCAAGCATGAATGCAGGGGAGGATCCCAGGACCAGCAGACAAAAAATGGGAGGGGACAGATGATGTGCTTTCAGAGCTGTCCCCAACCTGCTCCCCTGAGACGTCACCAGACTGCCAGTAGTCCCTGGCAGAATGAGAATCTGGGGCGAGATTTGTCCCCTAGCGATGACAGGAGGAAGTTCATGTGCATTGAAGAAAGAGTGGCTGCTGGTGGCCAGAGTGACCTGTATCCCTGCCCCTCAGCCCCCCAGGCAGGCAGGGTGTGCAGAGGGCAGCAGGAGGCAGTAGGAGCTGGGCAGCCAGGCATTCACGGGCCCCTTAGAAACTCAGGACATGATTCCCAGGACATGCTGGCCATTCATGGTCCCCTCTTATGGCCACATGTGCAGAGACACCCTGAAGATTTTACTCTTGGTGACCTGGTGAGAGTGAAATGGTCTTTCCTGCACATTTGAAACACAGTGTGGTGTTGTTTCCTGGATTGTTTATTTGTGACAACTGTACATGTTTTTTTCATACTGTACAGGGCTGAGATTACATGAGGTGGTGGGGCACAGTTTCGAGGGAGATGTGAGAGCCATGAGTCGGGACTCTGCCACCAGGCCTGGAGTTCAAGGGCCACACAGCCCTTTGCTGTCCCACACTCTCTGGAAGCAGCTGAGTGACTGTGGAGTCAGCATACTTGGGGTCCCAGCCATTCAGCTCATCTTCTCCTCCACTGCACTTATATTGACCACTTCCAGTCATTATTTCTGGGGCATGAGAAAATAAATATCCTGAGATGTGCTAAATTAAACACAAGGTCAGGAGCAGGCAGGGAGGGAGGAGCAGGAGACATAGTAAAGTGACAGCTACAGACCAAAGCCAACAAGACTGCTCCATGTTTCTGACCATGTGTGGAAATCAGGTGGCCAAACACCAGGGTGCTCAGTCTTGGTTACTGTGAATTTCTTGACTGTGAACCCACCCAACCAATGAGAACACTGCTCCTTGTTACTACCTTCTTATCCAAGGGTGTTCTCTTTTTCAGTAATCTTGCTCCTTGTGACCATAGCCATCAGAGGGGCAACAGAGAAAACACTAGGCTTTTTCCCAAAAGCATTCATTGAAACCTTTCCTTGGCTTTATGGTCAAGAGGGTGCATCCCCAGCTGCTATAGAGGCCCCACTGGTGACTGCAGGAGCCAGCCCAAGATGTGCTGCTGTCCTGAGGATCACTAATCTCTTTCACTTCAGGGAAACCTCAGTGTTCAGTATTTTGGTATAAAAGGAGGTGACCACTATCCATCTCTCTGGCATCCTAAGCACATTGGGAGGAATCTGAAGAACAGAGGTGATGGTCACACAGGAACTCTGGTCCTCTTGCTCTCAGTTCTGACTGGACCTCACCTTTGGGGGAACAACAGGAACTCTCCCATTTCTAGCACCAGCTTCAAAAATGATCATATCCCCAGAACTTCCAAAAAGTTTGGTTTAGGCTCTCCATTCACTACTGAAATACATATGGCTTGGGATGTGAGGAGAAGATGACCCAGGCATCAGTGGTGAACCCGAGAATAAGTACCTTCCAGGATCTGCATTTGTTCCCTATATTATTCACTATATCATTGACCACCATACAATCAGGCATTGAAAGGCTTAAATTTACTTTCTTTTCCTACAGTATGAAGTTCCAACCCAGAATACCTAACATGGCTTCCCCATACTCTATGAACCCCCATACTCCTATTATGTGATGATCTATTCAATAAGAAGCACAATTTCATCTCAAGAGGGGATGCAGAGGACCTTCACTCTCCCTTCCTCCAAAAATTCCCTGTGACCTCAGAGCCTGCTGCCTCTGGGCAGTGCCCTCAGCAAGTGGAGGCAGCAGGAGGAGAAGCTGGGGCAGCCCAGCCCTACACTTCTGCTCCCTGGGAGGTTGTGTCATGGCTGTGTCACCATGGCAGGGGAACTGTTAGTCTTTAGACAGTAATAAGTGGCAATATATTTAGGGTCCAGGCTGTTGATAGTGAGAGTGAAATTGGTGCCAGATCCACAGCCACTGAACCTTGAGGGGACCCTAGATCCCATATTGGTGGCATGATAAATGAGGAGCATATAGGAGCTTACCTTGGCTTCTGTTGATAGCAGAATAACCAATTATTAACACTTGACTTGCCCTAGAAGTGATGGTGACTATTTCTCCTTGAGATTTAGATGGGGAGGATGGAGACTGCATCATCATGATGTCACATATGGAACCTGAGATTAAATAAACATAATTACTTATCCACATATGTAAGAATGTTACAAGAGGACATCAGTGAACACCATGACCATTGGCTGAGCACATCCCTAGGGTTGTCCCTCCTTACCTGGGAGGCAGAGCAGCAGAAGCCCTAGGAGCTGAGTGGGGACCCTCATGGCCATGCTGTGTCCTGACAGGGACTGACTCCTGCACAGGATGTGAGCACCTCTTAACACATCATCAGGGCAGTGGGCTGTGCTGTGGGCACATGCAAATCAGCAGGGCTGGGCAGAGCTGGGCACAGCTGCAGGGTGGGCTCTTCTCAATAACTAAGCACACAGGTCCACTATCCCTGTATGTCCCATCTCAGACTAAGACCGCACCCATTTGCCTGCTGAGAATGTATTACTCCCTGGGAGACACTGAATGGGTCAGTCTGCTGGCCAATTTTTCATTTTCTTGTTGAATGTTCATCCCATCATCTCTTGATCTCACCATCTTAGATCAGGCCTGACAGAAAAAAAACAAGTGTACATTCTTTAGATTCCATGAATTTGGCAGTTCTTTCTATAAATTAGCTTCTGCAACAATTACTATCAGGAAGACACATGTATTTTAATAAAAATGAATATTAAATGTGTATTCATTAGTTTAAATTGTCTCTCTATATATGTTATCATAAAGCTGCATGTTTAATACAATTCTTCATTATCTACTTACTGTGGAACTTGATAAATTTTTCCAATGTGATGCCAGAATTGCTGACAACCCTGGAGAAAGTATCCTCACATAGTATGAGTCCATCCTCTGCTAGTGAAATTCTGAGAGTTGGAGCAACAGTGATTATGCAGGGTCACTGTTTTCTGTTCCCAGCTTGCCATCTCTCATTAGAATCATATTTCTTATTCTGTTTTACCCTGTGGTTTCTTGGAAACTAGGACAATTTATCTGAGATATGCCTCCCTCAGGATTAAGAGTCTAAATAGGAGAATTCAGTATCCTCCAGCACCAGTAGGCAGATGAATGGACAGAGGTAAGGTGAGCTCTGCAGAATCATGAGGTTATATGATGCAGGCAGCTGAGAGAACCAGATCTACCCATTCACTAACCCCATGGTCAGGAGTCCCATGCCTCCAGTTTCAGACAAGGTGTGGCTCAGGGGCACCAGACAAAGCCCTGTTTTTCATATCATCTCAGCTGTCTGCCTGACCTGCCAAGGCAGATCATGACTATAATGTAGACTCTAACTCCCTGTATAAAGCAAGCAACACTTGGAAATCTGAGGTGGCTTCAGTTTTTTTTTTTTTTTTTTTTTTTTCATATGAATCTGGACTGATATTGAATTCAGACTCTCAATGTCTATGGATCAAATTTGTTATTTAAACCAGAAGAAACATTGGCAAGTATGTGCTGTTGCAGCTGAAGAAGAGGGAGAGGGAGGCTGCAGAGGAGCTATGCTGGTCCCTTCTACCAAAACCCCCCAGTGCACTTCAGAGCCTGACTGCCCCTGAGAAGTGCCCACAGGAGGTAGAGGCAGCAGGAGGAGCAGCTGGGGCAGCCCAGCCTCTCACTTCTGCTCCCTGGGAGGTTTTTGTCATGGCCTGTATCACTGTGGGAGGGAGCTTATCATACTGTAAACAGTAATAAGTGGCAAAATCTTCAGGCTCCAGGCTGCTGATGGTGAGAGTGAAATCTGTCCCAGATCCACTCCCACTGAATCTCGAGGGAACACCAGATTGCAGATTGGATGCACCATAGATGAGACGCTTAGGAGATTGACCTGGTTTTTGCTGGTACCAGTTTAAGTAACTGCTGATGCCCTGACTTGCCCTGCATGTCATGGTGACTCTTTCTCCTGGAGATTTAGACAGGTAGGATGGAGACTGGGTCATTGTGATGTCACATCTGGCACCTGAAGTTAGACACATGAAAAGAAATGTATGCACAATTAATAGTGTTATAAGAGGATTTCCCTCAAGATCCCATCAGCACTGACCACACAGGGCTGAATAATATCCAGTGCTGCCCCTCCTTACCTGGGAGGCAGAGCAGCAGGAGCCCCAGGAGCTGAGCAGGGGCCCTCATGGCCATGCTGTGTCCTGACTGGGACTGACTCTTGCACAGGGTGTGAGAAGCCTCTTAAGAAGTCCTCAGGGTAGTGGGCTGTGCTGAGGGCACATGCAAATCAGCAGGACTGGGCAGGCTGGGCACAGCTGCAGGGCTGCTCCTCTCATTCACTCAGCACAGAACCATCACACCCCCCCCCCCATGTTCCAGGTCAACACAGATACTCTGCTTCTATTTGGGCCACAAGACCACCTCTGTCAAGTACCCCTGAGAGGCTTGTTATCTTGATCTCTTCCAAGTTCAGAGCCTGGCTGAACTTGCTTTCTTTCATCTATGACAGGGGCTGGCCATGATGACACAATCCCAGACACTGCAGGACAGTTTACCAGCTACTTTCCATTGCATTTACAGAAACCACTGACACAGAGAAGCTTTCCCTTTGCTCTCATTCCCCAATACTCATGATTTGAAGTAGAGAGGCAATAAGAAAACATGGGCAGTCACATCTTATAATGGAGGGTGTCATTTGCTTTTATTCAATCTCATGACTACAGCTAAGAAAGTTGCCTTCCTCCATTTATAAATGCTCTGGAAGTAGTTGACTTCCACCCAAAGCCAGGGGGTATCTTCTTTCCCATCTGGGGAGCATGAGCTTCCTCTCTAGCTCACCTCAAGATGACATATGTGCATGACTTCTGTTCCCTGGCTACTCAGAGCATTACTCCTATTCTCTCTCCTCTGGCAAACCAAGTCATTGCCTTCAGAAGTAGACATCCTATGTCCTCCAAGTGCCACTGATATTCTGCTGTGTTTCCTAAACTGCATATTCCACATCTCAAGTGTCAGTCAGCTCCTAAGAGAACTCAGTTCTCAGTGCCTGGTTTAGAACAGTGGGGACTAGGCAGGGTGCAAGGGAAGCATGTGGGTGTGGGAAGCCTGCATGGGGACTTGCAGTCTCAGAGGGGTCCTGAGGGTGTCCCCACATGGAGGGGGATGGTAGTATTTTCCAGATGTGGATGTCCAAGAGGGGAGAGACAAGTAGGACACTAAGAGGGATAGGAGTCCCCTGCAAAGGAGACATCTCAGGCATGATGAGAAAGACACCCATGCAGGGAGACAGATATCATGGTGGCCAAAGAGGGGTGTCAGAGTGGATCAGGTGGTGGGTATGTTAAAGAGAGTGGGTCAAGGAGGGTAGGTGAGGATGACAGCTGGGGGCTGGTTTTGAACAAGGGTATCGTGATTATTTGGATATGAGGTGTTTCCCAAAAGCTCATGTGTGAGACAATGCAAGAAGTTTTAGAGGAGAAATGATTAGTTTGTGAGGCTCTTAAGCCAATCAGTGAAATAATCCTCTGTTGAGATTAACTGAGTGGTAACTGTAGGCTGGTAGGGTGTGGCCATAGGAGGTGGGTCATTGAGGGCTTGTCTTTAGGGTATGTTATATCTGGCAAGTGGTCTCTCTCTCTCTCTCTCTCTCTCTCTCTCTCTCTCTCTCTCTCTCTCTCTCTCTCTCTCTCTCTTTCTCTCAGCACCAGAGGGCTGGGTAGAGGTGACCTGGTGCCTTCTAGTGGCCAAAGAGGAACTTGAATTGTGTATTTGAAGTTCAGAAGAGACCTGGGACAGAGACAGAGGTTGTGCTCTCTGTCCTTATTGTGTCCAGTGACAGGAGCATATTCCATGCACCGACACCACATGTAAATGTTTCAATAATGTTTGGAAGTTTGTGCTCACCTGCACTGAGAGTGTGATGTAAAATGACTCATTTTTCCCAACTGCAGCAGAGTTGAAAGCGGACAGTTCATAAGAACATGTCATTTGGGAAGGTTGATGAAAACTGCAGCTGCACCTGGATTTCTGGTCATTTTCTTGTCACATGATCCTTCTCCTTTGTCTCTGGCCCTATTTTGTCCTCTCTTACATCTGTTCTCTGGCTTCTCCACAGGTGGACTTTGCTTTGACACTCTGGTGTTTGGCAGGGCCCTGGGGGATCAAGACCAGCTTCTCAGAGCTCTGTAAATACATTTTCCCTGGAGATGGGGCCTGAGTACAGATGGTGAGCACCAGCAAGATGGTGACATAGCCCAGATCCTCTTCTGCTTGGTGCTCTGGGGCTCAGCTGAGAGGTTCACACAAGTGTGATCCTTACAAAAGTACACAGTGACTGCAACATGCACAAAGAAAAATCGTATATACCAACCCAAATCTTTGTTAAGAATCAGAAAATCTACACTTGAGAAATATTTTAATACACTGGTAGTTGGTATGTGGTCTTTGTACATTCTTGATTGCAGGGACCTGTGGGGACCTTGTGATGATCAGTCTCCAGGGTCCCTGGCTGTATCTGCCCAAGAGCGGGTCACCATCAGCAGCAAGTCCAGCCAGGATTTTTATTTTTAATATTTATAGGTGGACACATGTCTTTATTTTATTTTATGTGGTGCAAAGGATCAAACCTAGTGCCTCATGCATGCTAGGTGAGTGCTTACCTCTGAGCCTCAAGCCCAGCCCCTTCAGCCAGTGTTGTGTCCAACCAGAAGGAAGCCTTGGACTAGGAAGAGCAGAGACCTGACCCTAACTGGAGACATCCACCCAGGGCACTGGGGCCCCATGCAGGTTCAGTGGCAGTGGGACAGGGACAGATTTCACTCTCACCATCAGCAGCCCCAGGCTGAGGACCTGGACGATCCCTGCACTCACATTTGCTCTCTGCTCCTGCCACAGTGCTTTGGCCTCCTACATCCTCCCCAGGGCCTCGGTCAGCGAGTCTTGGCTGCACACACTGCTTCCTTACTGCTCAGCCCTGTTTCTCATCAGTGTATCAAAGCCTCATCTCCAGCACAGTCGTGGGACAATGTGCAACTCTGGGGAAGATTGAGTAGAGCAGCTGCCCTGAGTGTGGAGCACCAGGAAGCATTGGCCTGCACCTCTGTGGTGACTGTCAGGAACTTGCTGTTAGGTGTCCAGGACATTTGCCTCCCTGACCTCTCCATACATTTGGATTCACATTTCTGGTCAATGTGAGGCTCCCACTACATCTTGTGGCCCAGAACCAGGGTGCTCAGGTCATGATAGAGCAATTCCTCTCCTGTGCCTGATAACGCTGCCCTTGACATTCTGCTCTTGGT